TAGTAAAATTAATTAATGGCCATGCTCACTATTACTTACACTGAGTTCAATTCATAGGCTTTATATTTGAAAATACCAAAATGTATGAGTTTAGATCATAAATGTTCTTAACATATGCCACCCAGAAAATGCATCAACAGAAGACACAGGCAGAGAATTGTCCAAGATTTACACAATATCTGGATAGAATAAATAATATTTAGTATGTTTTATTTTTCCTTTAGGCAAGTAATATCAATGTGCTTCTGATGGGTTTCATTCCATTTGTGTTGAATTATGCACATGTGAAAAGTTCAAAAGTGATCAAGAAAATGTTTATTTGCATAGATATTAAGTCAGCATTTTCTGTAGGATGACTTAGATTCTGGTTTTGTTTTCATTAAACATGAAGCAAACAATAAATATCTCTTTTCACTTCAAATCATCTTTAATGTAAAAAAGCTCCCGAGGTCTTGTATCAGTTGTTATAAAGGTATTTATCATGGGGGCTTGTTTGCATGGCTGCCAGTAGACTGTCCCCAAAAGAACATTTTTGCATCTGAATGGACTGTCCAGTATCAGCAGCCTTTAGACTATAAATTTAACACTGCTAAAGAGAGGAAGAAATAAAGTCTGCTTTGTACTGTCTGGGTATCACATTTACAAGATGAACAAATCATCACACTACTTTGGCTTATCAGGCACTCTTGAATCTGAGGCTCTCAAAGGGGCTGACAAACCTTAATTAACTAAGCCACACAGCACCTCTGTGAGGAAGGCAGTAAGTAGATCCTGGGTCAGAGATAGATGTTTGGGTTTCCTGCAGGCTGGCCTTTGCTGGGCAGTGGCCTACCACGGAACTCAACAACTCCCAGAGGCCCACATATGAAAGTCTCCACTAATGCCAAAGCAGTGCAGAATGTAGATGTTAAAACCAACAAATTTCATTAAGGACTTTGAAGCAATAAGCCAAAATCAGTTGTGGCTCAGTTTCCCCTGGGTGTGCTGAAGAAAGTTTTTAATAATACAGTGATCAGCTCTAAGACAGAATTTGTGTCTGTGCATGTAACTAGGGCACTATCTCAACAAAAGACTTCCTGGAGCATGGCTGGTAAATTGTCCGATTTTCTCCTATAGATTCACCCAATCAACTTACCTATGCTTGGGCATTTGTGAAAATAAAAATTCCACTTGATAATGGCAAACCTTTGTGATATTTAAGAACCAATTTTTTCTCTCTATTCACATAAAAGGTTTCTGTGACATAAAAATAATATTACATTTTTTACTGCATGAATAAAATCCAGAATTATTAAAAGAGCAATATAATTATATTTGTAATGTATTTCCCTAAAAGTAAATACATATATACATACATTTGTAGAAATATATTATAAAAGAAACCACTCAGGAAAAGAGTGCAACATTGTACATAAGCCAATTAGAATCATAATCTGCCACTTAAATATGGAGGAAAGAAATTATTGGAAAACGTAATTAATTGGTTATCCCACTTTGACAAAGGTAATGTTGAATATACTACGTTCTTCTCAAGGCCAAATTAAAATATAAGTAAAAATACTGGGTGGGTTTGTATTTATTAAACTTTGGTGACCACTTCAGGAATAAGGTTTTTAAAAAGTAAAGTTTGCATGTAACTGTGGAACAAATGGTATTTTAACAACAAAAAAAACCACAAAATTTTATTTAACAAATAAGTCTTAATATTCATTCAAATTCACAAAATATTCTAAAGTTTTATATTAATATTGATTGGCTGATAATCAAGAAAAAGTCCAACTTTTTAAAAGCAATTTACAAGGGAAAACTTCGGCCAATCTGTCCTGTGACCATCTAAGCTGAGTCACCCACAAAGGTTGCATAAACAACATAAAGTTCTTTACACGTCCTTCCTATTCATAATAAAGCGAAAATAAAAGGGCATTCACTAAATGAGAACATACACAAATGACCTGAAAACCTCAAACAAAGGGCAACTACGTCCACTGCTCTAGACCTAGACACAACAAAAAAGGAAAAACAAAGTCAAGCAAACAAAGAAACAAGAAAAACTGGCAGATGCTAATGAAAGGAATATTGCGAAATATAAGGGCTGCATGAAAAACTTCCTTCTACCCTTGAAGGAATGGAGCAAACTGCTACCACTAGACCCAGTAAAAACGCATTAATTAATTAAAGTGGAGAAATGTGTTATCAGATGAATATCCTGAAAACAGCACTATAATCATTTGCTTTACGATAGAAACCTATATACAGTTGGCCTAGTCATTAAATATGCTCCCTTTCTTAGCAATAGCCTCGAACTACTTTAAGTTAACGCATTCTAGAACAACTTTTCCACACTTGACTTTTTCTATCAGTGTTTACATCATGTTAGCATAGTTAAAAGTTTTTTCTCTCAGCAACAGCCATCTATAGGAAAGCATTTACTAGGGTACTGTACTACATGCTGTGTTGAATAAGCTAATGAAAAACTCGCTTCCATGTCATAAGTAAGTCTCTGTAAGTAAATAAACATACCCGAAGGCAGCTCATTTCATGTTCCATTCTACTTTAGAAACTCAAATGTCAATATTGCATCCTATACATAGGTAGAACATGATATTTTATTCCAAGCATCCCTGTATTTTTATTGTGCATTTATAAACATGATACTAGTTTGAAGTTTTATAACTAACCAATTGAACTGCATTATTTTTGCCTTTAGTAAACATGGCAATGATATTCTGCTGGGTACTGTCTTCCAGAGTGAACAGATAGTATATTTGCTATGATAATTTAGCATCCAATATTCCACCACCAAAAGCAGGAATCTCCTCAATTTCTCATTAAAATCTGTTCTGCTTGTTTAAGTGACTAGGTTTCTTTGAAAGCTCATTAAGATATGTTCAGATCAAAATTGGAAATTCAGTTAAGAAATCAAACCAAATATTGCACAATTAACCAAGTTGGGCACTCTTTCTACTCTAAATTCCTAGTAGCAGTGGTTCTCACCCTTCCTAATGCTGCGACCCTTTAGTTCAGTTCCTCATGTTGTGGGGACCCCTAACCACAAAAGGTTAGGGATTGAGCCATTCATTGAGGAGTTAGCTGTGCTGGAGATCTCCTACGTCAGCAGCTAATGCAGAGGAAGTGAAAGGGCAGTTGAAATGGTGCAATAGAAACTTAAAGTCAGGGAATTAAGGAAGTAGAGGAACTGAAAAGAACGAATTGTTTTTAGAAGTTTTATCATCCTCAGGCTGATCTCAATACTGATAGGGTTTTCATTCTACTGCTTAATCAGCTACTTATCATTCCAGATTCTTAGAGTATACAAGGGAGGCAGAGAAACTGACAGACCGGAAATCGTTAAAAAGGAAAAAAAAAAAAAAAGAAAGAAAGAAACACTGGAATAACTTGGAGCCACGCAAAAATGTCAGTTACGTGAAAGAGGAAGACAGAAGGCATTGGTGAGCTAATGGAAAGCACCCAGTTGTACCCCATTCTCAATGTCACCGGACACTAATAACATATATGATACCCATTCTCCCTCTCAACCAAAAGCCATAAAAGGCCCACAAGACCAGAAAAGCATGGAGCGCTGAGAAAAGGCTATTTACAACCAGACAGGTGCATCTATCTACAGCTACGCAAAGGAAGCTAGCTCCCTGAAATAAGCCTGCTCCTGGAAGGTACAGAACTGTTGGTTTTCTTTCCAAAGGTACGTAAGAGAACATTTGCTCCTGCCAGAGGGCAGGAAAAAGTCTTTGTTTCTCAGGGGACCAGGGGGGACCAACCCCCTTTTCTATAACCAAGACTTCTCTTAGCTCTATGGCTTGACTACAGGCAGGAAAAGTAACGGCTTGTTTAGACTGTCCATTTCCAAGGGGTGTGTGTTCCTTAACTGCACTCCACAACCCCACAGACACACAGAAAGGCTTCATGGAATCGGAAGGAAGTGACAATGGAGGAGCAGCTAAGTCCACTCACAGCAAAGCACTTCTCTTCAGTGTCTTGTGACCACAGACCTATGGTCTCTGACCTACAGGTCAAAGCCCTAGGCTGAGTGGACTCCATTTCCTAACCAGGTGTTTTTTGTAAAGGGACCTAATTTCTGATCGTACCTTCTGTGCAGGAACATAGTTTCACAGCCATCCAGAAATCTCTAAATCCCTCCGCACCAAGGTGAAATGCTAAAGGGTACTTTCTGCTTTAGTCAAAACACACATATGGCATTCTGGGAGTTCACGGAGTTTCAAAGGCTAAAATGTTGCTGAGAACATCGAGTCTACAATGCACCCACAGAAATGAAGATTTTCCTTACTGGGAGATTCTTTATCATTTTTTCCGAATATTTTCCTCCCTAAAAGGCCCTGAGAGCATGAAATAAATAAAAAATAATAATAAAAAAATAAAAAATAAACACTCTTCACTCTTCTTTGGGCAGGATTTGTACTATTCATGTTTAGATTTTGCTCATCCTTCTTCTTTCTGGCAACTGAACTACAAGCATTGTTTTGTTGTTAATCTTTTTTTGTTTATTTGGTGTGTGTGTGTGCGTGTGTGTGTGTGTGTGTGTGTGTGTGTGTGTGTGTGTGTGTGTGTTAAAAAATGCTGCTTTCTGGATTAACATCTCGCCCAGGAGTTTACATTCTTAGTGTTTTAATCTCTGCTAACCTCCCTTATCAACTGTGTACTGTATCACAGGACCTTAAAAATTAGCAGTCAGTTATTTGAATACAGCTGAGCATCCTTATGGGATGGGAAAGCTCCCTCCTCCAAAGGTGGCGGCTTTGTTGCTTTGCATAATCACCAAGAATGATTAACCAACATTCGGAGCTGAGAGCAAAGACAAATAGCAACTGCCTACCTGTAAGCTACTTTCTGCTCCTTTGGCCGTCATGCATAAAGAATATCAATACAGGTCATTTAATTTCACTACACAACACATTAAACTAAACATCGAAAATGTATGTTCCCTTCAAAAGATATAAATAGTTTTAAAAAGTAAACCTTCCTACCCGTAACAGTGACTGGGATTCGTCCTTGGTCTTGCTCTCTCCAGAAGCAGGATACTGCTGGGTCAGGGATGCAGACTTCTCGCCACCAGCAGACGCCCCTTGCAGGAAGCCCTTGGTATCGACAGCCAAGCCATACATAGGTCGGGCCAGGTGGGCAGCTTCAACATTGGGGCTGTCCCTCAGAGTCTTTGTCTGTTCTTGGGAGCTGGACACGGGCGTCAAGAGCCCTAGGCTTGCTTGAGTGTAGGATGGACTGCCCCGTAGGATGTCAGCCCCTCTCCAAGTCACTCCACGAAGATCATCAGTGGAACTCTCAGTCCAGACTTTATCTTTCAGCCCTTCCTTGTCATCAAGTTTCTCCCTCTTGACTATGCTCTCGGGAACTGTCTCTCCCATTTTAGAGTCTGGGTTTAGCAGACTGTAGACCTTGAGGTCAATTTTGGGCTCTTCTTTGATGGTGGGTATGGCATGGCCATCCTCTTCGCCATTAGCAGTAGTGATTTCCTGTTCCTGGCAGTGAACCGTGTTGAAGTGCTCCAATAGTGACTGAGTGTCAGCAGCTGTGAAACTGCACTGGCGACATTTGTAGCAGCTGTGTGCTCTCCTGGAAGGAAGAAAAGAGTCAATGAGAAGCCAGAATTCTGAAGGGAATGCTCTGTGCTAAAACAGTCCTTATGCACCTGACTTCTCTCATGCAATGTAGTAGGTTGAAAGAAACACAATATTCTCAACACCCAGAAATTGAAAGTTAATTAACAGGCATTTTCATTTCTGTATAAGAATCTGAAGTTTTCTTTAGCACTAACAGACAAGAACACACGAACACACACACACACACATACACATACACACAGGGGGGCGGGGGGGCAGCTGATTACTGTTAGAACTGGTTGTTTTAGCTTCATTATCACCTGTTATGTTCGTTTTATCTTGATAGATAATTGTCAATTCTAAATTAGTAAGATATTCATGTTTTTTTACAACTGATTTCTCCAATGGCCTTTCCACTTTGTTTATCTGTGCTGAACTAGGGCATTTTTTCACTATAAATACATTAACAATTTTAATGTTGAGTTCCTTTTTATAACTCTCCTGCATATTTCATTATGCTATGACTATTCCTTTCTAGCATGTGTTTAAGTCAGTTTAGTCAAGGAGATAAGGCTACCTGACCTATATAATCTAGAAAATATGATGTGTTAAAACAAGTGTTTTCTAAATGAATTGCATGATCTATAAGTAGATAGAGAAACGGAGCAGACCAAATGTCTGCTAGGCATCAAACAGCATGGCAGTGGCTACACAGACATATGTGTTAAAGGAGTCTGTATGTGTATTCATGTGTGTACTTCCTTTTTAAAAGTCATAAAACAAAGCTTTTTTATTGTCAGACGTTACAACATCTCCATTTTTAAAGAAATAATAACTGCTATATTAGCACAAATGTTTGAATAAAAAGAACAAATGTATTTAATTGTGAAAAGCATACCAGAAAAATGCATACATTTTTGCAATGAGGCATTCTTTCTTTGATTAAAGAACCTTACACAACTCTAAATATCCTATGAAGTTACTTTCTACTTACCCCATATGTTACCTAAAGTGTAACACAATAAGTTCTATGAGCTATCACTTGAAGTTACTCCAACTGTAGATAAGTATCAATATATCATTTTGCCAGCTGCTGGCTAATGGCAAAATAGGAACTCACAGTCCTTGCTTACTTGGCACTTACAGGCTAGTCAGGATGACAAACTTCACTATACACAAACATGTATGAACAGAGAATGATATATGGAAATAATGACATGAAAGAGAATGTAAGGCTTATAAAGTTGCTTAGGAAAGTTTAGGAACTTTCTGAGGGAAAACTGCAAATCCAAAAGATAAGAAACAGCTATCCTTTTAGGAAGAGAGAAGGAGGTGTCCTAATTAAGCTATTGTTGTGATGAAACACCATGACCAAACCAACTTAGGGAGGAAAGGTTTATTTGACTTATATTTCAACATCATCGAAAAAGTTCAGGACAGGATCTCAAACAGGGCAGGAACCTGGAGGCAGGGCTTGATGCAGAGGCCATGAGGAGTGGTGCTTACTGGCTTGCTCAGCCTGATTTCTTATAGAACCCTGGACCACAGCTAAGGGGTATCACCATCCACAATGGCTGGGCCCTCCCAGATCAGTCAGTAAATAAAAAAATGCCCTACAGGTTTTTTATACAGCCTAACCTTATGGAGGCATTTCCCCAATCAAGGTTCCTTCCTCTCAGTTGACTACAGCTTATGTCAAGCTGGCATAAAACTAGCAAGAACAAGAGGAAAAGAGCACATCTTAGCAAACCTGAGATGTGGAAGAGGTCACTGTAGACAAAGAGGAATAACAAAGAAGAATCAGGATGACCAATCCATTGGAAGGGTCACCTAATGCATGGGTGCTTGTCTTAGGAAGGGTGGATACTTTACAAGCCTAAGGAGACTTAGGCAAGGAGGAAGGTAACAAACATGTGGTTGAATCATGGAGGAGAGGCTGTAACAGTTTCTGAATTAAATGTGTCTTGTTACGAGGCATGTCTGATGATGAAATGCCCAAACAGCAAGGCTCCCAAGTCCAGGATCCACTTAAGGACAAAAAGGTGGTGAAATGATGCCTTACCTACAAAACTGATGTCACAAAACTTCTAACTCCCAGATCAACACTCCGCTCTTCAATATGCTGAAGCCTAAATATTTTGCAATATTTTTAAACCAGTGAAATTACTGACAAAACAAAAAGTTGAAACAGCGGAGGGAGACTACACAAGGTCTTGCCATAGGAAAGAGAATGAGGACAATAACCATTTTCAAAACTGGCCATGCGCAGCAGTTCCAAGGCTTCCTCGCCTTCCCGAAACACTGTGTTCCCGACATGACTTAAGAACCTAAATGTTTAATGAGTGCCAGTGCAGGGACCAATATTTAACTAAAAATCATGTAACCAGATGTATCATGATTCTAAATGACTTAATAAACTCACAAGGTATCCCTTATCCTCTTAACTTTAGTGAAAACTGGAGAAAGCCCTTACTCTCCTTCAGAATCTTGAGATGCACACTATCATTCATGACAGGTGGGTAAAGATGCACACACAGTGAGGCATTAAGTTTGGCTTCAAAGGTCTCTTGAGACCTGACTAGCTCTTTCCTCTTTGAATCCAGCCTAAATGAATAGAGGGCTAATTAAAAAGCTATTACTTTCAAAATTTGGGAGTGATGTAAACATCACGATACCTATTACTAACGCAGAGTGGTACCTTTCAAACTCCAACATGCATAGTCATCTTCTGGAGACAAGGATGAAGCCCAGACTCTGACTGAGCTTGCCAGGAACTCAGCAGTTTACTGAGCATTTTCACAGGAACTTCTTATGATGGGAAACACACATTCTCATCATTCCCTTCAGAGAATCAACTTAACAGTGGCACATACTAAAACTGCGAACAAGAAATGTTGAAAGAGAGAGCTATGGCTGGGAATGTCCATGATGCTGATGCAACATGGGAGTCAAGAAGCAGCAGAGAGATATTAAGAAGTATATACATGGTACAATTTGAGAGATGCTCTGAATAAAAAATCTGTTGTTTAATTCAATCTTATATTAAGCCAATTTAGTTTAAAAGACACTATAAATCTAGTACATATTTATTATTTATTTAAATTCTATGTATTTCAGTCAACTGACGAGCAAACATTCTGCTCACACTACCAAAGGAAACAGGATTATATTTCCATAGGTCTCCTTCCACAACACTGTCAGATAGGAAAATTTAGTGTATCTCTTATGCAACATTTGGAACCTTCTAATGTGAAGACTCAATATGACTTTTGCTCTAACAACCTAGCAATGAATAAAGACAGAATTTTAATGAGCATCTAACTCATTATTTCTATCCAGGAAAAGAAAAAAAAAAACAGTCTATAGAAGAGCAACTTGTACTTGAATTTCAGTGACTTAGAATTTTTGTGAGAAGAAAAGATTTTTTTGTTTTTTTAGTTTTTGTTTGTTTGTTTTTTCATGACAGGGTTTCTCTGTGTAACAGTCTTGGATGTACTGGAACTCACTTCATAGACAAGGCTGGCCTCAAGCTCAGAGAGATTCACCTGCCTCTGTCTCCTAAGTTCTGAGATTAAAGGCCTGCACCACCTTCACCTGGCTTGAAGGAAAGGTTTAATAGCTTTTCCCATTTCATAGAATTTTCACATGCTGTAAAAAATATTTATATGGGATCCTTCTGAGATTGCAAGTTGCAGTTAGCTTTTATCCTAATAGTAACATTCATTCATTGATTTCTAGAGATTTTTATGATTTTCATAATTCATAAGAGAATCAGGAATGTTTCCAGAAAAAAAATATCAGCCAAAAGATGCTATTTGTTTGATAAAACTCTGATGGTGTGGTAATTTGACTGAAAACGGCCTCCATTAATCTTTAGTCCCTGGCTGATGGAGCTGTTTGGGAAGGATTAGGAGGTATGGCCTTATTAAAGAAAATGTGTCATTGGTGGTAGACTTTGAGGTTTCAAAAGACATCCTCAGGTTCTCACTCTGTCTCATGCATCTGGATCACAATTAAACTCACAGATACTGTATTGGCATCAACCCTTCCTGCCTGCCAACATGGTCCCTGACATGATGATCTTGGATTCTAAACCTCTGAAACTGTATACCCCCAATAAACGTTTTCTTCCATAAGTTGCTTTAGTTGTGATATCTTAACACAACAATCATAGAGTAAGTAAGACAGATGGTATTTGCGTATGGATGGTAAACCAGTCTTGGTATATACTAAAAACAGTGATAATCATGTTTTGCTTTTCTCCCTTACATTAACTTTCTAGTGACTGATGCTAAACATCCCCTGAAAGGCTCTTCTTTACTGAATAGTAGTATTCAGTCTGAGGAATTTGAACCATGGTTTTTCTTCTTCAGTGAATCAAAGGAAAAGAAAACAGTCATAAATACTTATCAATAAAACTTTACAGAATCAAATGATTACAGATAATTTATGACATAGATAGGGTAAATGAAGGTAAATAAAGAGACTTCATTGACTATTGATTTTAAACAGCTCAGTAGCACTGATGTCTAATGGCATTGGCCATTTTTCAGTATCTACTTGGTTGATATCAAAATCTATAATGTGTAGTAAGTGATGATACTGACACCATTGAATGACGGGGTAAAAGACAAGATGTGTGAGTTCCTGAAAGCCAGAGACAAAAGCAGAAGACAGATGGATAAACAACTCAATATGATTTGGTTGTAGTCTCTGAGATAGGGTCTCATGTAGCTCAAGTTGACCACAAATTGATTATGTAAGATGAGCAAAGGCTGGCCTTTACACTCCTGAACATGCTGCCTTTACCTACCAAGCTCTAGAATTCCAGACATGTGCCACAATACTTTAGAGTGAGGAGTATTTGGTCATATTTACCAGGGAGGCAGCCTGAAAAATATTAATCCTTTTCTTAAGTTGAGATAGTCTGATTAATATTTTATTAGTAGTAACGTTGGTGGAGGTGGCACTTCATCTTCAAATAGGGTGAACTTTCTATTCCTTTTAGTATTA